ATACTAAGAGGAAGTGACGCGATCGTACGCTGTTGGACTTCAGACTGTTACTGCTACACTTAAAATATTCATTCTTCACTTTTTTGTGTGTACAGGAAATGGGAATTTTAAATCTGTCATAGGGGTCATGGCATACAGTAAAAAAAAAAAAAAAAAGCATTAACGTAAAAACACATTTATTCAGTTATCCTGTTGTATGAAACTTTAAATAAATGCCATTTTGAAATTTATGAAAAAATAAATAACGTGCAAGTATTTGGAACTGCAGGAGAACTTTCCCACTAAACTCAGATAGAGATTTGACTTCAATAAATAGGTATACGACTCCATATAAATGACAACAATTAATTACAGACTGGTATTCAGAACAGAACAACAGCCCGGCTTAAACAACACTGAAGATCAACAAAAAAACGAACAAAATAAAAGCTGCATCAGTACTTTTAACCGCTGTAGCGGTTAAACTGTAGCTTTAAAAAAAGTCAGGAGTCGCCTCGCTAACGGGTTTCTCTCACGATCATGCTGCTGTTGCCACGCAACTGGGAGAGCAAGTCTCTGAATCCACAAGTCTTCTTTTGTTCTTTCTGCTTGGTTGGGACGTTTCTTGGCTTGGTGGTTTCCATGGTGACAATAGAGGGAATCAACTCAATGGTCAGATCTGTTTCTTCTGGACTGTCCATTTCTTGGTCGCTCCACCCCTCAAGACCAGCACTGCTACTGTGACCGATGGTCGGGTCATTATCGGTACAGCCAATACTGCTGTGTTGGCGGCGATTGTTGCTGTGGAGACGCTGCTGCTTGGCGACGCGAGGACCCTGAGAATCATCTTGTGTCCTCTTCCTCCTGTTCTTCCTCCTCCCCCTTTTCAGTGGAACTCTGACACGTCGCCTAAGGTTCCTGAGACAGAAAACGCAGCATGTTGAGGTCATTTTTGATGACAGTGGAGTCGATATGAGATTTTAGAGATTGATTTTAGAGGGGAAAATTTACTGATTACCAATTTGGCAGCCGCAATAGTACATTTTTGAAAGTAACCTCTTCTGTATGGATTGTGCACCAATATGCAACGGTATTCAAATAACAATAACAGATAACTTTATTGAAGAATGTTAAAATTAAATATTCTTTAACATGTTAAATCATTTAAAATATACATTGTCAATCAATTCCAGTTGACTTTGCTGAGAGCTGCTTCTTCTCTCTTACTCTGTGCTGCTTGTCACAATATTGTAAATCACAACGCAAACTGCTGGATAAACTTTGCATTGGCACCAATATATTACCACAAGCATTTTTTCCTGAATTATATACTGGAAAAAACTGTTTTCATACCAGCGCATATCGGATAACAAATATGCCAATATCAGCCGTTATATATATATATTCCATGCCACTGCAGGGAATGTGTGTTATGTGTACAGATACATTACCTCTGAAGGAAAGTGTGTGGCCTCGAGCAGGCTGATGATTCTCGCTCTCCCACACATTGCTCAGTGCGCTTTGCGCCGTTCTTGAGTCTTTTCTTCACCAGTTGTACATGGGTCAAAAGCTTCCTGACAAAACAGAGTCAGAGGTGCGGTTATAATCACCTGACAGCACATGGATCTGCTTGGCTACTGCTTTTCCACCTTAGAGCCAGTAAACACTCTACACACACAAGCACCTCTTCTTACCCTCTTGCATTAGGCAGCCTCCTCGGTCTCCAGTCCTTGATCAGGACCCACTGGTCACATGTGAGGGACTTGGGGTCTACAGAACAAACAAGAAAGAAGGGTTCAAACATGTTGGGATGCTTGTGTGCACTGAATCACAGCTAGCAGTCGCTTCCTCTGACTGATGAGAGTAGACTGTGGGAACGTGGAAGTTATTCAACCTCAAAACACTGAGGTGTGAAATTGGTACAAAATTTAAATAAACTGAATTTGCTGTAGCAGCAACCCAATTTCCCCACACAGACATTAGACTGTGCGCACTCACCATTGTCTAAGAGTTTATTTTTAATTGGTGTTTTTATCTTCTTTGTCTTCTGGTAAAGCTTCCGGCAGGCTGAGCACACGCCCTGCGAGGGTCTCAGTGTCTTGGGCGTGTCGTTGTGTCGGAGGGAAGGACCAGAAGCAATGCTGCTGGTGACAGATTCTTCATCTGACTCATCCACTCCTTCATCAGCCACCTCTACAAACTGCCCTTCATCTTCCTTAACATGTTTAGCATCATCTGTACTGTTAATGATGTCAATGATGTCACGGTCGCTCCCTGCACTGTCACTGGCTTTGGTCTTCCTCAACCCTATCCTCTGCCTCTTACTCCCCAGCCTGCCCTGGGTAACTTCTTCATTTGGGCTGGGGCTTCTCTGGGGGCTCTTCTTGGAGGCCTTTGTTAGTCTGGAGGAGCGTCGGGGAGACATGGATCTTTCCCACTTCACACAATATTCAAATGATCTGTGAGAGAGAGCAATAGCGACTATCTGTGATAAAGCACCTATAAAATGTAATACACTGGCATGTGATCTCTAAGGTGCCTGGCTTTTATCTTATTTCACAATTTAACTGAAGTCACAGGCTGAAGACGTTAATATAATCACCTATAATATTCCACTCTTATGGACGATGTTGCATGAATGAACATCTCCAAGCCATCTGCTTCACACCCACTGTCAGTCACAGGCCTGCAATTTGAGGACAAATGATAGACAATCAAACAGTGGATAGGAAGAAGCCAAGCAGTACTAAGATGAAACACTACTTTTCCCACAAGCGTACTGTGTGTCAGGTAGTCTGTATACTTTAAATAGGAATATGCATCATATAAGTAACGTTACAATATCAAATGATTACGCAGGGCCTCTCCTGGCGACAGGAGCTCAAGAACAGGTAAGTAACTTGTGTAACGTTACGTTAGATCACTTTAGGTGCTTATTGATTAGCTGCTGTTCCGGTGTTGAACTAAATCAATCGAAAACTGACCGATACACCATCGATCCGTGTTGGTCTGAGGCCCTGATACTTATGAACTAACGTACAGCTCGAGTTGTACACACTGGAATAAATATCACTGTCGTTTAGCTGACTAGTTTTAGCACATTGGCTGAGTTAGCCAGACCAAAATAAACAACAGACTGAAGGCTGGATCCACACCGGCACTGACGTTAGGCTGCGACTTACTTCCACTCAGATCGGTCACAGTTAACGGGATTTGACCGGTTCATACCTGCTTTAACTAAAACTAACGTAGCGAGGAGCTTACGTGTTAACATACTGGCTCGTGCCCCGGTGAGCTCGCGGACCCCGGGTATTGTTGTGAGCTCGAGGAGAAACTACTCAACTTGAACATGCGCGCGGCGGAAGAGGACTCTCCCTCGAGCAACTTGTAGATTCTTCTTCTACTGTTTTTATCCTACATAGTGGCGCCACCAACTGGACCTCCACACGGCCCATTCAGACAGGTTCAGTGAGTACAGCAGCTGCTCTGACTGCAGGCTCTCTGCTGTATGCCTCCCAGCTCTGTTGGTCTGTGCTACTATATGTGAGTGTTGTCTCTCTTTGTTAGCTCTGTGCTCCCGTTTAGCCCACATCTCTCTCTGTGTCAAGAAGACACTTGCTGGTTAAATAAAATGCTAATTTTGCAAATAAAAAAAACATTCAAGAAGCAGATCATTTTAACTCAAGTGTCATATTGTGTCATATTTTTGTGGCTGCTATTAAAATCCAAACATACATATATTATAAACAATCTTCATGTTAAAAACTGTCATAGACAGACAGACAGACAGAGACACTACCTGGTCCCGGCTTCTCTACACGTCAGTTGTGGTAATTTAATGAAACACAGCTTATTGGGATATATGAGTGCAATAAACCAGCAAACATTTGGTCACAGTAGCATAGCCATAAATATTCATTTAGGTGGGCCTGTGGCCCGGGATATAATATGTGCAAGAACCAATGCAACAACAACATTACTCTTATTTTAAGACATGTTTTATGATTATGGCTACACGGGTGATTTGAAAAATAATAAAAATATGGCTCAATTCCATTTAGCTGCTTCATTTTAAGGTTCCTGGTAGCGTGCATGGTGGCTCACTGTCATGACTCACACTCAAAGTGTTAAAGAGTCACTTAAATAGCCACACATGGGATTTTCCTAACACGACAAGTCAAAATGTCTGCTGTGAAAAGGCAAATGCAGGATAAGAAGCAGGAAAACAACTGCTTCTGTATCTCATGGTCATTGCACCATCGTTGCATTTTCTGACATACTGGATCTCAGATCTAAAGAAACAGGTTTGATTGGCATTGGAGATTTCTTTCTGTGAAAGGGATTAACGTCTCTCCATTGTGTATGAACTGGATTGTACAACAATGCAGAGCAGGTAAACAGGTTTAAATTGTACAGTACTTTATATACCAAACTTCTCTGTGACATGAGAAAGTACATCAGATATCTTGTGCAAGTACATATGGAGTCTGAGACCATGTCTGGAATTAATGTCTAAATTGAATATTAGTAATTAATTGGGTGTGTGTTAACTGAGATTAGACCATGGAACTATTATTAATTTTATTTATTTTTTTCCTTCACATCAAACATGACTCTGAACTTGAAAAAGGTTCCTGCCTACTGTCAAAAGTAGAGAATACAATACAATACAATGCATATAAAAACAAACACTAACGTTTGAATAAGTCAAAACTCTAGCAACACTTGTAGAATAAAGAACAACTTTACTGTCAGACCAACTCAACAAGTGGTCTTCATCTGGGTCACCACTGGCCTCAAACCACATGACCACTGCAAAGTTTTGACAGAAATCCTTACTCTCTGCTGTTTCCCCCACTGACCTTTCTCCCAGTCCCTCAGGTGCAGTCTCAGCTGTGATTATGTGCTGTCTTTGATATCAGTAAATCTAATTACACTGTAACTGAATCGCTGAATGTCCCATATCTGCTAGTACTGCAATTGTCGCTCTTGTTTAAGTGAGGACTTTGAACACACACAACCCTGCAGCTAATTCACAGAGGAATTTCAACAACCCACATAGAGGAGCCTGAAGGTAGGTGGGGAAGGGGGGAGTGGTTTCCGGGAACATTCATAAGGGAACAAGAGGGATTCAGTTTTTTCCTCACTTTGTCCCTGGTTGTAGCCTGTGTTGGATTCAGTGAGCTGTAGATGTGGAGGACAGACAACAATGTGGAAAGCTGCTCTTTTTGTGCTCCTGCTGCTAAACATGGACAAGCAGGTGAATGGGGCTGTAGATAAGAGTAGGGGGACTGTGGCAGAAAACCCCAGGCCAGAGGAGAAGGTGAAGGCAGAAGAGGCTGAAGGCACCATCACAGTTCCTGCAAGCAACACTGCTTCCTCAGGTTTTGTGGGGAAATTGCTGGTGGTCCCCATGGATGGGAGTCACTGGGTGGGTGTAAAGGCCCTTGCCCAAGAAATGGGTCGGCGTGGACACCAGGTCACTGTAGTGATACCAGAGATCAACGTACGGATGGGTCCAGGGAAACACTACGACACTGTGACCTATCCTGTTCCTTATGAAAAGGTTTTTATTGATTCCGTCATGTCCTCACACAAGGACATAATGAAGAAATCTGCACAGCCTTTCGTGGAGAAGATAAGGAAACGATTCTCACAAATCCAGAAAATTACAAACTTTATCCACACCACGGCGGAAAGCCTGCTGTTCAATGCCAGTCTCATCTCACATCTGGCACAGCAGGTGAGTACAAAGACAGAGGTTGGACACAACATCGGTATCAGGTGTAAAATCCAATATAATTCAATACAATAGCATTAAATTTGAACTTTAAATACTGAATTTGTGAGGCATTAGTTTAGACTGCATCTACTACTCTTGACCTACCTTTTGGGGCTGTTACTGTATTGGATTGCATCCTACCATTGGTACATGTGTCACTATTTTTATTAGTCCTTATTTTGGCAGAGGCAGTTTCTTTGTATGATTCTGCAATGACCACTGTCCACACTCTGTCAATCACCTCCCAGGCTTGAGGTAAAATAAGCTAAAATTTAATCAAAAAGGACAAAGGGTGCGGTTACTTACAGTGGGTGCTTCACCAGCTTATTGATTATTTAATTTAATTTTGAGTAAATGACTAAGGCTCAATGTGTTTCTCATATAAGAGACACTATTCTAAAACCTGCAGACAAAGGTCACCAAGATAAACAGGAATGACAATGACAGGTCCCATTGTGTCAACAGAATATTTCCCTGCACAATGCCTGTTAGGTTTTTTCCACACCCAGTATAACAAACCATTTTCACATATATTTTATTGTACAAATATCTCACAGTGTATTTTTGACTTTGCTGCAGGCGGGAGCAGGCGATCAAAAAGTAAACTGGAGGATCTGAGACAACAAATTAAGTTCAAAAGAATATTAAAGCAATTTTTTATAAAATAAAAGCGAAGCAAGTCACTGACACAGTGAAATGACGTCTAAATGTCTATTGTGGCTGACTATGAAGACTTTTTATCCTCAAACCTAAAAATAAAAAAATGACTCAAGAGGATTCCTTGAGACAAAATTGAGGGTCCAAGGTCTAATGTGCATCCATTGTGTGGGTCCTTGACATGAAAACCTTTGGAAGCCTGTGGTGTAGAGTAAGAGAGAGCCATATAATGTATAACATATATGGGTAGTTTAGTCCAGCAGTACCTACCCTTGGGGCCCAGATAAATCTGAGGGGTTGTGGAATAAGTAATGAGGTACAGTAAAAAAAAACGCCTGCTACACAAATCTGTATTCATTTTCTGGATATATTTCAAATCTAAGTTACTTGAGAGGCCTCAGTCAGTTATTTGAAATGAACCCATATGTGAATTGTAAAGGGAAATGTCTCTGTGGTGGAACAAGTCAACAAATCACATCATGACAAGAGGCCCCAACTAGACACAGATTTTTTGGTAAGAGGTTTTTTGTTATGGAACATTCTGTAACAAAGTGAAATCAACAATAGCAGTTCTTTCAGAGTTTTACTACAATATTCATTTGAACATTTGCAAATGAATTCCCCGCTTGCAGACAAGAGAACACCTAGAATGAAGTTCAGTATCCATATTTCTACATACAGTCTCATTTGTCACAGAGCATTTCATCATCTTCAGAGAGTAACATTCGGCCCTCGTTTGATACACAGGTGCTCATTTGCACAGTTGTTCATTGTATCTGCCTCTGTCTGCTGGGACTAAAAGCTGAAGGCTGAGTCTCATACAACTTCTCGCTGGGTAGCATTCAGCAACTGCTGCGAAGCTGACAATCAGCTGTTTCACACAGAAACAGAAAAGACAAAGTATCACCCTATGTTCAAAGCAGTTTAACATAAGAAAGATTAAAGGTTAGAAAACAGCAGTTTAATCTTTGACAATGCATTGTATATAGAAGTTTATCAGACTGTATGTTTTGATGTCAAATCTTAATCTGCAAAGTAACTATAGCGATCATATAATTGTGGTGGAATCAAAGGTACAACAATTTCAAGACGAATCTGCAAACTGTTCTGGTTCATTTTTGAACCGCATTTTTTATCCTAACCTGGCATTGCCAGACTAATATAGAAATAAGAGAGAAACAAATTGAGCAAATCCAACATTAGCTCAGCAGATTTGTCTGTTTTCCAGGCTAGTAGAGCGTAGCATCAAGTAATGCCCACTGAGTTGGGCTGAAAAAATGAGCTGTCACATGCTTCTTCTCTTCTGTATATTAAGTGCATGAGTGTATGAAGTAGGAGGTGCGTTATTAGTGCCTACTGTTTAAGATTCACTTTTTCCTTTGTACATTTTCACTATGCAGGGCTTTGATGCCGTCTTAACAGATCCCATGGTGCCCACAGGCTCCTTAATAGCGCGGAAATTTGGTGAGTTCTGCCACACTTATTCTATCTGTGTCCTTACACGTCTGTACAGTCTCTCACCGGTCATCATTAAATCACTGTCAGGTGTCCCCACTGTTAATCTGCTGAGAGGAATTCCATGTTCCCTGGATGTGACGTCTGCAGGCTGCCCCTCCCCGCCCTCATATGTGCCTCGCTTCTTCACCGGATACACAGATAAAATGAACTTCAAGCAGAGGACTATCAACACTTTGGTGAGCATGCATGTACATGTGCGTGTGCATGTGCATGTGCATGTGCATGTGCACGCAATGAAGGAGGGCTATGTTTTATTCTGTAAAATGAACTCTGCTGTAAACCTCAGATTCTAGATTCACTAATCCCTCTACCTTATATTTCCAATTTATTTAGCTATTTGTTACAGAAGCGTATTGCATTCATTTGAAAATTTATTTTTTGGTTTGTTTTTCAGAGTAATTCATTTTTATGGTTGGTTTTTCGGAGTATATTTTCTGTCAGATTGACTCCGTAAAACAGGAAAAGAATTACTCAGAAAAACAGGGGAAAAATCTGTCAGAAAAAGAGGAAAGAAAAATTATTCAAAAAAACCAAACCAAAAAATAAATTACTGGGGTTTTTTTCAAGTGAATGCAATACTTGAAATACTATGCTAATAATTTGTCACATCATTCTACAGAAATAGGTATTTGTGTGATTCCAGGTCATAAGTGTGACAATGTAAGACACTATGACCCAGTTAAGCTTGGACTTCAGTTCCAGCTCAGTTAATATGTAACTGAAATTCAACTCTTTTGCCAAGCAGGCACTAATGCCTTCCTTTGTGAAACTGTTCATTGTTCTGTGATGCCTCTGACCTACAGGTGGCTCTACTGGAGCCGCTGATGTGCCGACTGCTGTATTGGCACTTTGACCACATAGCTAATCAGTTCCTGGGAGAGGAGGTGGGAATAGCTGAAGTGCTGTCAGAATCTGCCATCTGGTTGCTGAGGTACAAAGGCTGCATATTGATTTTTGGCAGAAGAATACACATTAACCTAGCTTGCAGAAGTACTTAAACACACATATTACACTAACAAACTGGGGAGGGTCATTTTCCGGTTATTGTTGTTTCATGCCACAAAATCACAGAGAAAAAATACACTAGATTGTTTGTCTCATATTCAGATATGTTGTGATACTGTGTTTAAACAGGACTGACACCATATTTGAGGTCCCACGCCCTCTCATGCCTAATATGGTACAGGTTGGCGGAATCAACTGCAACATGAGAAATCCTCTGCCTGAAGTAAGACCATGTGTTTTGGTTTTGATGAAAAAACATTCAGTTAATTCGGATTATCTCTGACTTCCTCCTCACCCTGCTTTTCAATGCAGGGAGATGGAGAGATAGAGAAAGAGAGGTGAATGCCAGGTCCTCTGTGTGTGTGTGTTTTTGCAGGATTTGAAGTCCTGGGTGTCAGGAGAGCATGGGTTTATAGTGTTCACTCTGGGCACCATGGTGTCAGATATGCCAGAAGAGACAACCGCCGTCTTCCTAGAAGCCTTCAGACAGATTCAACAGAAGGTACAGGAATATGTATCAAATGCATTTCATACATCAATGCAATATTCAAAAAGCAATATTAACACTTCTTTTTATAGGTGATATGGCGGTACACTGGGCAGGTTCCTGGCAGTGTCCCGGAAAATGTGAAGATGATGGAATGGGTGCCTCAGAATGACCTACTAGGTCTGTAAACACAAACTACTCAGAACTGACAGGTCATGTGTCACATACCATAACATCGGACATCTTCCTCTGTCTGTCTGTCTGTCTGTGTGTCTGTGTGTGTGTGTGTGTGTGTGTGTATTTTGTTTTAGCACATCCTGGAGCTCGGGCTTTCATCACTCACGCTGGCTCGCATGGTCTCTTTGAGGGACTGTGTCACGCTGTTCCAATGGTGATGGTACCAATTTCCGGGGATCAGCCGGACAACGCGCAGAAGCTGGCGAGCAAAGGAGTGGGAGTGGTGTTGGATATTTTTTCGATCACTACAGAGAGCCTTCTTCAGGGGCTGAAAGATGTCATCAATGACACCAGGTGAGGGGTCAGAAGGTCATTTAACAGAAGCTCCTTATATCTTGGAGCCAATTATCAAAGTATAAACAAAGTTTTGACATCCGCTTTACATACTAAATACTTATGTTGTATTGTTAAACTCTTCTCCATGTCCAGGTATAAAGAAAATGTGCAGAAGCTGTCAACTCTCCATAAAGACCGTGCAGTTGACCCACTCGATCTTTCAGTGTTCTGGACAGAATTTGTGATGCGGCACAAAGGAGCAAAACATCTCAGACCTGCTGTCCATGACCTCAACTGGCTCCAGTACTTCTGCCTGGATGTAATAACGCTACTGGCTACTGTAGTGTTGATTTTTGTAATACTGATGGTAAAATGCTTGAAACTATGCCTCAGGAAATTGGGCAGGAAGAGGAAGCAGGACTAATATGGGGTTACATTTTAACCTCCATCTCAGCAACGACACAGTTAAAGCCCCCCTCCACTTTCTTGTTTCTACAGTTGAATGTTTGTTCTTCACTGTGCAGAGTGATGTATGTACAGAGTTTGACACTAGAAGGATGTTTTCACAAGTGGAAGGTTTCTCTGTGCTCACTGAAAATCGATCGCCTATGAGCATGATTTGTGACATCACAAATAGTTTGGAAGTCAGTCCCGGTCCAGTATTCAACTTATACACTGTGACATAGAAACTTGAACCAGTGCACATACACTGAGGGAGGAGACATCTTGTGTCCAGCAGGAAATAATTAGAAATTAACCAAATTTGCATATTCAGAGACTTTGGAGGTAGAAGGAGTAGATGACTTTTTAAGAAATGTGGAAATTATTTTTTTTTCCCGACAAAAAAACACATCTGACACACATTATTGTTCCAAAGAGACAATTTGTATGTCTTAATGCGTGTCTGGAGGTGATCTTTAAGGGAGATATAAACCATTATATCAATACACATTAGTGAAAAGCCAAGTTGGTTAGGGTTTAAATGTGTAAGACCAATAAGGAAGCCATGGGGTGATCAAAAAAAACATTTAATAAACAGAAAATACATTATAGTATTAGACTCAATTATGTTCTGAGCTTGAGGAAGAGTGATGATCATTTGTGGTCACCCTTCTTTGGTGGGAACAGGACGTACTCTACAGCCAGAGCAACTGTAAAGGCAGCAAAGCCCCACTTGAATCCACACAGCACAACATCAGCCAAAGTCACACCACGAGCGAAACCACCTGTATATCTCCAAACCTCATTACTGCAGAGGGAGAGTGACAGAAGACGGAGAGCAGGGTCAGAAAAATCTGAATTATTAAAACGATCAGATATATTTCATGTAGGTTTAAAAACTGACCGTGCCCATGGATCCTTGAGGCCCCTCCTTGCCAGCCTCTGTTGTGTGACCTCCAGTGGTGTTCCTTGTACCTTCCACAGCCGCCAGTCTGGCAGCTTTGGGTGGCCCCCGTGGTCACCTCCCATGCTGTAAACAGACACAGATATATGCAAGTTGGCAGTGGCTGTTAATGGTAATTGCCCCCTTAGCCCTCATGTTGTGCCTGCCTGAAATAAGCAATGTTCCTCAGAGTTAGAGCAAAGTGAAAATATGAGACACTTAATAATACAAGTCTCATCCAGAAGGACTCAGGCCCAAACAAATTGCCCCCAAACAACAGAAGGAAAGTTCTACTTTAAAAAGTTGCATGTCCACACCTGAACCACAGCATAGATCACAACCTACAGGTGATAAGTGCTGACTCTTGCAAATATAACTTGGATCAAATTGTTTGTTTTTTTTCAGCAAGTGTGTTTATTACTTTTCAGAGAAAACAAATCACACTACAACAAATAATACAGGTGCAAATCAGAACTGTCACAGTAAGGCTCATCTTCAATAAAATAAACAAACAGGACGGGGTTGTAGCATGTGATATTTGGCACAGTAAGTCAACATAAGTCATCCTTAAGAGTCACCAGTGGTCCAAAAGTGAACTTATCCCGAAGTTATCCTGAAGAGAAAAGCACTTCAAATAAAACTAAGCAAAGACAAACAGACGTATACTAAATACATAGCAATACTCACTTGTTGATGGTTGACATACACAGAGCATGCCTCCAATGCTTTCCTCCCCTCTAAGAACACCATAAAAGATCTCCACATATTGTCAAAGACGAGATATTTACCCTTTAACGTAAAAGTGAGTTTTTCCAGTGCAAGACAGTCTGACAGTCCTGCAAGCCAGACACTAACAACTTGGATCAAATTGTTATTAATATTAAAGCAAACAAAGTTTTTGTGATCAACGTGTATTTCCAATTCTACCTCGATTTCATTTTGACCAAAGCTGTGGTTTATTTCTGCAAACGGCTTGTACATTCAAAATAATGATGAGTGTCATCTTAGTACACATTAAATAATAATGCTGTAAAGATACACAACTTCATTTTCCTTTCCAAAGCATATAATTAGCAAAGACATTTGGAAAAATTCTCCGTCAGTTGGAGGTATTTAGGACCTGACCTTATGGAAGTCAATGCACGCCTGCTGTCTCTCCACATTACACTGACTCAACACATATTTTTGATTTCTCAGGACACAACTCTTGTCGTCATTTATCTTATTTTTATTAAAATGGAAAGAAAGAAATTTTAAAAAATGGAATTATTATTATTATTATTATTATTATTATTATTATTATAAGTATCTCAGGACGGCACTATTTAGGTCTAAAGTCAGACATTTAAGTCAAAAGTTTTAAAATAATACATTTCTCTGAGCAAGGCTTTCATTAGATTCTACAAACTGTATATTATTCTGGCTATTTAACTTTAATACTGTTGGCCCTGAAACTGAGTTTCTTAACTAAAGTGAGATCAAGCACTTTTGTAAACAAAGTAATCTATATTGAACCTAATTACAACCACTAATGTTACATCACAGATAGGGATGTATGATAATGACTGGGGACGATAAATTATCGGCTGATAATGGGAAATAGATATTATTATAAACAATCCCCATTATTAAATTATAGCTGATAAATAATTGATCCATAATTGATTTCAAATCAAATCATCAAGCAAACTGATTGATACACTTTATTTCACTTCACTAGACAAAACAAATGACCATTTGAAGAGTCAGAACTGTTGTTTGTTTTTGTTGTGTTAACAATAATGAGGTCAGCTAGATTTGGTTAGAACAGCTTAGACCTTCCTACCAGCAGGTGTGTAAAAACTACAGCTTATGAATTTCTTGTTAAATTACAAAAAGGTAATCGGTTATCTTATCACCTGAAAAACATCCCTGTTGAGCACCTCTAATCATGGAGATACATTATTTCTATCAAACGTTGTTTTTGTTTTTGTCTTGTATAGCAAAGAAAAAAATGTAATCCAAAATGCTGTAAATAAAATTTGACATTTCAATGAACGCCACATTATAATGTGTAGTTTTATTTGTCTTAGTTTTGGGTCCACACAAACCCTGACCTTAATAAATGGATGTTTTAATAATGTCAGTGGTGTTAACTGTGTACTCTTAATAATAAATACACAAACAAACTAATAACTGCTCATCTTACACCTGCTGAAGTTCACTGCTGTTATTTAACAATTGACATGTCTTATCGATGACTGGCTACCTTCATCCAATCGGTCACTTAGCTAACATGCCTGCCTACTCAAATGAAACCCATTATATAAATAAAGAGTCCAAAAGTTGATAAAATCAGAGTGTAACAAACAGCTGCTTATCAAAGGTAAACTAGCTACGTTAGCGTGCTAGCTAGCAGAGGAAACGCTAGCTTGTTCTGAGACGCATTATCTACACCTTTATAAAGTGTTCAACACAGTGTTGTTGCCCACTGTGTAAGAGCAATAAAACATGGGTCAGACTTGTAAGATTTTATCTACAAAAACACTGTACCTGTATAGTTTGTTGTGACCTCTGCTGCTGGCCTAAACCCTTCTTCCGCTTCTTCTTCTTCTTTGTGTCTTTTTTTTTGTGGCGGATTGCAATCTTATTTTACAGCTGCCTACCGCCACCTACTGTACCAGAGGATGTATAACCGGATGTAGTTGAGTTTACATTAGTCTATGAACAAAACAAATAAATACAATAAACAAAAGATCAATCTATAAGCCCTCTCTGTGCCTCCCACACCTTCTACATCCCACCCCCGTCTCTCACCCTTTGTTGTAAACTCCCCCTCTCTTCATTGTATTTGGTGCAGGGCAGTATTTCATGTTCAACTTCTTCACTTATATTACAATACACTAGTGAATTTACCTTACCCAATAAAAACAATGTCTTATTTAAACCAGTGTGATCAAATCTGAATCTCGCTATAACTTCCTCCTCTTCTGTTTCTTCCTTTATCACTTTGTGTTGTTTTTATATTCTATATTATGTTCCACTCTTGCTGTCTCTCTCACCTTTTGTGTGCCACATTTCAGATATTTTCTGTTTGATTAGTGTTTTACCTAAAACTTTCATTATATTCTTCATATTTAGTGCTCTTTTAGCCACCCTGTCTGCAAATTCATTCCCACATGTGCAGGTACCCGACAAAAACTAAAACATTTTTTCTGTTGTACTATCAGTTTGCCGATGTAAGACAGTAGCTGATGAGCATTACAAAATAAAATACAATATTACAAATGCACAATTCTTATTATTCTGTATATATATATTCTAAATATGAATTACTATTCAGGATGAGCAGATTCTATCCTTACGTTAATACTTATTTACTCTCAACATGCCTCTAGAATATTTTAAAAGTTTGTTTTACATCCACAGATTTATTAGTCTTTTATTATCCAAAGCCTTTTCATTTCTGTGTATTTCCCCATAAACATTAAAAAAGAAAGATATTCCATGATATAATACATAGAAACATACATTAAGATGTAATGTAAAGAATCTGTTCACCACACATTATTGAATCTTTATACATTCTTGATGATCATCTGTGAGCCACAGTAAAGAAAAACCATTTGCTATCCCATCTCACTGCAGGAGTCCAAGGTGCCGGCTAAAGGTGACACTGACATTGTAGCTCCTGACTTTGAAACTCTCTGACACTCTTTTCTCTCCATTTGTAAAGGCATTTGTATGAAAACACTGTATGTTTATTTAACTACTTACAAAAGTATTAGAAAAAAAAATATTCTACATACATTTCAACAGTTTATATCACCACTCGTTATCCAGGATTCTAATCAGACACTTGTGTTGCTATTAATTTGACACAATTATGTACACGTTATGAACAATAAATCACATCATCTTATAAGTAGGCCACCATGGTGTCTTTGACAGTGCTTCAGGTGCCTGTGCACCTCAATGTCCATGACGCTTGTTGGCCAAGCGTGTGTATGTGTTTATGCATTGGGCTAAGACCGTGCCACTAAAGTGAATTAGAGTTTGCTTTTGGGTTTGAGGAGGTCCTTCAGAGCGTCCAGGTTCTCCCCCTCTGGGGCATCAGGCCAAGCACTGTGGTCTGGAGACAAACACATAAAGCACACAGGAATTTAGTATGATGTATTGTATCTGGTTTGTCCTGTAAATAATGATGTGTGTATGTGTTAGAAAGCTGTACGTACCGGGTATCTCCCACATTGAGTGGTACAGACTTTGTCCTGCATCAACCCTCAGGGTGGCTCCAGAGATGTAGGAGGCAGCGGGAGAGAGCAGGAAACACACTGCTGATGAGATCTGAACAGAGACACACAGAGTCATCCCTACTGACTGTCACACTGCAACAAAGCCACAAACACACATACTCTGTATCCAGTGCTCTTTAAGTATTTTCAATTTAAGTGTGTGCTGTGTGTTTACTTTAGCAAAGTGTAGTTCGGACGTTGGATGTATGAATAGGTACTTTGTTAAGCACTTTAAAGTCCCATTAACAACTGATATTTTCAAATGGTTCTGCATATGTATTACTTAAAAGAGGACAGAATGGTTAAAATACAACATTTTAAGTTTAAATATAAACTTAAAATTATATTACACACCTCTTCGGGTACTCCCAGCCTCTTTGCAGGGCTAAATGGAACAGACATCTTGAATAGACTTGGTCCAAACTCTTTGTAATTCTCCATTGCAGTTTTGGAAAAGATTGTGCCCTGTAACCAGACAAATACCCTTGAAATGACGACATACTTTAAGACCTACAACACTGACTCTACATGAACGTATGACCCGTACTTACAGGTGCAACAGAGTTGACTCTGACTCCAGAGGCTGCCCACTCGATGGCCAGACTCTTTGTCAAGTTGTCCACTGCTGCCCTCGCTGCTCCTGTGTGGCTGTCAGGGAGACGAGATACAGTGTTTCAACGAAAAAAGGGAAAAGGCGTGAGCAAGTTGTAAACTCATGAGGTGGGTGGTGCCGCTTACGCCATGCCCGGGAAGCCTTTCCACATGTCAGCAATGATGTTGACAATCACGCCTCCATGCTGTTTCATCCACGCAGTGTAGACTATGAGGACAAAACAGCAACACAGTCAGTCTGAGACCTTTAACAAACACACACTGAACCAGTGTTAGGGGCCTACATCTTTACCCTGCTGGCAGCAGTGGAAGGTTCCAGTCAGGTTGGTGTCTATCACAGCTTTCCAGCCTTTAGAGGACATGTGTTCAGCTGGGCTGCTGAACTGACCTCCCCCATTGTTCACCAGGAAGTCTATCCTGCCGTACTTCTCCAGCACCGACGATACAAGAGCCTTCACCTGTCGCACAAGGAGTAAAAACACTGAAATCAGGCTATCATCAAACACGAAGCAGTTCCAGAGGCTGACACGGCGTGTAGGCCCACCTCATCCTCATTTCGGATGTTACACAATAGAGGAGTGACACGTGCAGGACTGGATGGAGGGATTTTCTGTCTCATCTCCTGGGCTGCTGCCTCCAACCTCTCTGCCTTTCTACTGGAGATCACCACACTGCAGCCTGAGGACACAATGGTCACTATCATCACACACTAACTAACTATCGAACTATCACACAGTACTGATAGTTCACTCTGACACACAATTGTTGTGGGCCAATGAGAAATGACTGCTGAATAAATCATTAGTATTCAGTCTGCTTATTGGGAACCAAAATAAAGATAGAATAGAAATCTATTAGGACTTGAATTTTATTGAGAGACAACATTTATTACCATGAACACATTTTTCAAACAGGTCAGGCCGAGATATTGAACTTATTCTTCGGTATTTACTCAGACATTACAAACTCAGTGGGTTAAATAGTTAGTCATAAAGTGAGAGGGGACAACTTCGTCCAGGTGTTGCAGCAAATAATGTGACCCCTCAGATTCTGTGCCCGGATAAGGGTTTCTCTGTAAGTTGTCCCGCACTGTAAACGTTTTTTAATCATACTTTATCACATCATCATGTTGATAGCTGTAACCAAACATTGTGCCTCCACAGTATTTTAACAGTGTCACAATTGTCAAGGTCTTTGCGGCTCTGACTTCTTTCTGTGTCGAAGTTCACTTGTTGTCAGTCAGCTGCTCTTCGCTTCCAACCGTCTGCACCGATGTAAATACATATCTCTTGACCTCAAACACGGTTTCACTCACCCAGCTCCAGCAGCTCGGCGGAGATAGCTTTACCGATACCGGTACCTCCACCGGTTACTATTGCAACTCTATGGTTGAACAAGCCCGGTCTGAAGACACTGGACGCCGCCATACTTGTTTCTTCACTGTGCTGAGGACGAGCACAGGACTACGCCGCCTGCTGGACATTTTACGGTAGTTGGTGCATTTGCTGTTACAGTGCTGCCATCTTCAGGGACTACACTGTTAATACATACACACAATATATAGGTTCATTCCCATCTTTACACTCTGTATGTAGACTGTACTTGTGATACAATACATACATTTATATGATACTACAGGCAATGAGATGTTTCAGTGGTCGGGATGCAACCCGCTGTTTGGTTAAAGAGAAAGGCTTATATATTAGAGCTGTTAAATGTCACTAAAGCTTAACAAAAGCACTAAAAAAACAATTATAATCTTTTTTTAAAAAATGTTTTGCCTCTTAGTTATTTTATTCTATTAATCTTACTGTAATTTTGTATTGCTTGTAATCCATTACATTATCCATTCATTATTCTATTGGGACACTTGACTTGTACAGACAATTCATGTTACGGTCATTGTTGCTTTTTCTATACCCTTATATAAAACACCTACATGTACGTACACAATACCTTTTGCCTTATTTGTTCAGTTTTGTTGTCCGTGTTTCTGGCTGCACATAAGTTTCTATCTTCCTGAAACTGTTCTTGAACTGTAAGTGCACAGAGCAATTTAAGATCACAATAAGTAACTTTACACGTACATACTATTTACACCTGTGCTGAAGCTCAATCAAGAACTGCGAGAACCTCTGCACTTATTTGCATTAAAACACTAAGTGCTATCAGTGTACGTAGTACTATAAACATTGACCTCTTACAGTACAATAAATAAACCTTTCACAGCACACTCTGGTGAAATGGCTCAATATTTCGGCGTGCCTGTGTCATGACAGCGAGCCAGCATGTGTGATATCCATAGAGCCAAGAACAGCAGATACATACCATTATTGACAAGATTACACCTTTGGTAAGTCAATGTATCTATTGCCTTGTTGATCCTTTGGTGAAATATTTTAACCTTCTGCCCCAGAGTCAGTATTCATTTTGCTCAGGATTCAAAACAGGAAAGGGGCACTGTGGCTGAGTAAGGGATTTGAAACTCTTAAAAAAAAAAGGCATGAGGGGCATAGATAACTCATCACTCTACCATTATCAGAGTGAAAATGCCCATCAATCTGTGAGTTATTGATCTAACTCACTAAGAAAGTATTGCAGCTGCAGGCCAGGATAACCTCATGTTGTGGCATCACGACATACACACGTACAAGGACAGTTGTACGGCTTTAGGTGGTGCAACCTTCTCACTCATGCAGGTCTGGTGAGCCATCTTCCTGTAGTTGTTGCCCACAACTTTAGATTTTACTGCTACACTATAAGACAGATGTAAAAAGACACAAACAAAGAATTCCGCTCCAGACCGCTTTATTTTTGGATGTTGAGGCCATGTCCAGTTCGGTTAAATTATAGAAAAAGTCCCAAATCCACCAGTGATCATCGCACTTGGTTTACTGGTCCTTCAACTCCTTCAGTCTCCTGATAGCGGACTTGACTGTGACAGCCGAAGTTGTGCTGCAAGAAAAAAAACAAAAAAAGAAACCTTAGTTAAACTTTGTGTATACATTTTAGCGATTACTCTGACATTTCCATGGGCACAGAAAGTTTGCTTTTCAATAGGAGCTTGTCTTTCCTTAAATTGGAAAACTAAAAATGTGTGTCAAAAATACTGTTGCTCCACTTAGTCCAAATAGATGATTCACTCATGACATCGCTCAATGATTTTAACCATCCAATCATTTCATATTTTGGTCTGGCAAGGACATGACTATTGTATTTCAATTAGTCTTTTCACAGGATGTTTTACAGTTCTGTACATTGACAGAAACCCTTCCATCATCAAAACAGACCAATGTGCTGTTCCCTGACTGTTTTTAGTAAAATATGGCAGCTATTCTGGAAAAGTCAGATGTAACCAACATAGCCAACATTTTAGAAACAAAATAAATGAAGTACATTTACATGATGCTGGATCATGCTTCATTATGACCCAGCATGTTAATAGTTAGAAAATAAGGTTCTAGTGTGGAGGCCTGGGAAGTTACTATGTGGTTCACTGAATGTCTGAAAATCTGACTGGGCTGATTTAATTCTTCAACTGGTTTGAGGTATTTGGTAAATCTCTGCATTACTGTGATATAAAATGGGGCACTTTATTGGTGAAAATGATATCAGTAATCACCCACACAAACTGAACAGCTGTATCACTGACTGACATCACATTTAGATACAACAGCTGTCTGCTCCATGGGAACATTTACTTCTGTGTTCTGACCATTTACTGTCAAAGAGCGCAACACACCCTTCATCATCGCCATCACTGTTTACATTTATGATGTCTTATTTATTCTCCTGTACAGCACTTTGGTCATTTTTAAAGTGCTTAACAAATAAAGTTGGATTGGATGGCCTTAGCAGCCAGAAGAACTACATCATGCTGGTAGCAGAAATATAATTGTTAGCAGTGGAGTCCTTGGGTTTAGCAACAGCAGAAGATGCAGCCTTCAAACAACAACAATGACTTAATAATGGATATAAACATGTTTCCAGATGAAGCTGGGTGGTAAAATGACAGCAAATCCAAAAGGAAACCTACTTGTACGTCCAGGCTCCTCCAGCCACGGTCTTCTTGCAGGACCCACAGTGCCAGATACCAACAGCCCTCCTCTTCATCTTGGTCTGTAAATATCAATGTAGCACATTAACAATGGCTGAAAACCAGTATCTTGTCAACTTTTCCTGACACAACCTCTAAACACCATACTTGTACACTAAATGCTGCAGGCATTCCCAGAATTCCTCCACATCAGTACACAGAGTAAACAGGCACATCACATCATTGATTAGTTATAGCACAGACCTATGGTGTTTCCAAAGATTGTCCTTACCTTGCCACAGAAAGAGCAGGTGTATTTAGCATGCTGGGAGATTTCAATTTTCTTCACCATCTTCCTCAGCGACGCACCATAACGCGTGCCATATTTACCAACGATCCCCACCTTCTTGGTACGTTTGGCCTGCGGACAACATGAACACACACAGTAAGATACACGAAACCTGCAGCATTAATACACCAGTACAAGAAGTTACCACTCCTGATTAAAGGGTTTAATACCACTGACAGTCAGTCCTGTTGCTGTCCTGTCACCAGCGATGTAACCAGGTTAACAACGTTAGCCTACACTAGCTTCCTCTTACCTAGCGAGCTAGCTTACTTTCACCAATTCAACAATCCGGGTCCAAGTTTAGAGACGACAACCGATGTTAACGCATTTAGTGTGCCACTTCGGTTTACTTTAAAACTGCGGGTCTCTGAACTAGCACGGACTTTAGGATTTAACGACAGACACAAGCTACGGACTAGCCCGCCCGCCCGGCTCTTGGAGTGCACTAGTAATGGTGGCAGCCATTGCTGTCTCGATAGGACATGAAAACATCGTTTTTGCTGTTGATACAATCACAAAACCAACACAAATACCACGGAGGTCTAACATAAAAGGACATTGTTAAGAATCTGAATGTGTGATTATATAATTTATAGCACAGAAAACGTCAGATTGACTCGGATTAGGACGGGGACATTGTGGGCTCACCATCGTTTCAGTGGAGACGTAGGTCCAAAGAGGGATTGCTAACCGCGCAGGCGCGATTTACCCAGTCGTTTGCGCTGCATTGTGGGACTTTGAGTTTTTTTCACAATACAGATACAACTATACAAAAATAAAACTAGTCTTCCAAATCGTATAAAATAGAAATTACGTTTTCCAATAAGTAGCGTTACAGTTGCATTCCTCTAACCTAAAAACTAAAATTCCTCACGTACGCAATAATTATACCGGAAATGACTGTAACTAAGGACGCTCCAGTAGATACGCGCATGCGTGTTCATGTGGCGGACAACAACATCCCTACTGCTGGATTGAAATGTTTGTCCATTTAGCCTGTCATAATGCGGTCTTTGTTGTTTGTGAACATATAGTGGGTTAAAATTGTTTTTCCTCGACAGCTAAGTAAGTTGATATGCTATGAAGCTAACACGGAAACAGGTTCTTGCTAAGGCTAAGGCCTCCGACTTGGAAAGCGTAAAGAAATTGAACTGCTGGTAAGTGTTTAAATTAGCATACCTGTAAATCTGTTGGTTTTCGATGTACATCCTGATGGTCGAGGTTGACAGGTACAACTTATTTTGTATTTTTCGTAACGTTACGTTTCCTTTTTGCAGGGGATGCAACCTGACTGATGTGAGTAGCCAGTTAAAAAATATCATATTTAGCCTGACACTGACACTGAATTCACTATTTATGCTCAAATTGACTTTGTTACACTTCTTAACTGAAGTTGTGTTAGTATACGTGTGTGTGCAATAACTTGAGTGTTCCCTTATATTCCAGATTTCTATCTTCTCTCAAATGGCCAACATTGAGGTGCTGACACTCAGGTTGGTCTATTTAACTCTTTGCTGTCTTCCTCTCACTCTGACACACTCACATACAGAGCCATGATCCTGTTACACTTGCTCTAAATCATTTGAGATGATCAGTGAATCCTGTTCTTTCTCTGCAGTGTCAACAGCATCTCATCTCTCTCTCCTCTGGCTGGCTGTCTGTCTCTGTGTGAGCTCTACCTGAGGAGGAACATGATTCCCTCTCTCTCTGAGCTTTCTCATCTGCGCCCATTGACGCGCCTCCGAGTGCTCTGGTTGGCTGAGAACCCCTGTTGTGGAACTGACTCCCGCCTGTATCGCCTCACTGTACTTCGCTGCCTGCCCCGCCTGCAGAAGCTTGACAACCAAGGTGAGTATGCAGTGTTTTTGTGACTTTATTTGAAGTGATTTACACTTTTGAAACCGAGGCTTTCAAGTGATCACATTGAGCTGGAGCAAAAACTAGCTTTGGTATAACCTGAGACAAGATGGGGAGGGTTGGATGAGACATTTCTGCAATGGGATTGTAAATTATTGTAATGAAGCATATGTGTATTGCATTTTATGTGTGTGTGTGTTTTGCAGTAGTGACAGAGGATGAGATTGCACAAGCGCTCATGGAGGGTGAAGAGGTCACCACCCCCCCTGGTAGTCTCCAGAACCAGCTTTCCACCAATGGACTTCCAGATGCAGAGACAGAGAATGACCCACTTAACTACAACATGGAGGAGACCAAGTAAGCCTTGTGGACTGACACCAACACTAACAAAAATCTTTCAAACTAGTGTTTTAAAATCAACGCATTTCTCTCTTGATTTTTGTTTTCAGTAAAATTAGGGAAGAGTTAGGGGATGAAGCTCCTCTCCAGAGACAAGTTCCCATCTCTTTCTTCTCCGTCAACCAGAGAAAACAAACTATCAATGAAAAAGGTACCCTCTTATCTCTGAACAGTGCTCCCCTGAAACTCACTGTTGGAATATACTTAAAAACGTTTCCATTTTGCCAATAAATGATGAATTGTGTTTTCAGACACACACTCTTGATGCAGTCCTGCTGCTGCTGAGGGATTTGGATGAAGAGGAGCTTCGCGTAGTACACACAGCTATCCAGAACAGACTCCACAATAACACACTGGACTCAGACACGCTAAGCGATTCACTGCAGACACAGAAAACAGTTGACATCCAACACTGAAATGTTTGATAGCATGCGCTCAGGGCTGAATCTCTCCTTCCTCTTTCCACGTTTAATCTTTTCATCCAAACACAGGGTCCTAACACACCCCCTTACCTTCTTATTGCAATATGCATGGCATGTGATGTAATGTCACTGACCTCACACAGTTTTCACATGTGGAGCAGTATTTAATAATTTCCATGGCTTTTTCCTTTTTCTAAAGCAGCATGCCTGCCTGCCTGCCTGCCTTGTAAGAACAAAAGAATGTATGTTTTGCTAAACTTAAATCTATTTCTGTAATTAAAGAAGAAGTTGCAATACATTCACTCAGTGTTGATTTTAATTACACAGATCTTAGCTGAAAACATGTATGCATCGAAACAGAAGACAGTGCTACAATGAGACATTTCATCAATAATTAGATTTGAACCATTAATTTAAACTGTGCAGAGCCTGTAAGCTGTCTTATGTAACTAAGCTGTTACTGTATATCAGTAAATGTCAGTCAGTGAACTAGAAGAGAGAGTTCTCTTCTCAGTCACCCTCCTCGTTCTCCAAGAAGTCCATCAGCGTGCTCGCGTCCACGGCAACCATCAAGTACTCCACTCCATCTGCACCCTGGAGAATCATGGGAATACATGTAAGTGAGAGACTGGGGGCTGCAGAGAGTCATGGCACTGAGTGAGAGCTCTAAAGTGAAACAGTGACTCCACCTTGCGTGTCCGTATCAGTTTGTGGTCTCTGAACTCAGTCAGCTGAGTCCTCAGTGTGAGGTCAGAGTTTACCAAGAATGCCTCTCGACAACGCTGGTAGAAATCTTGGAATGACAATCCTGCACAAAGTCACAGGAAAACATCACAATCATAAAACTAAACAGTCATATTCTAAGGAAGCATTCGGAAATTTTCAGAATGTGTGTACCTGTGTATGAAGGATTATCTTTGTTTTCCAGCTGAAATTTCACCAGCAGTTGGAAAATTCCTCTGCAAAAAGAAAAGACACAGAGCCATGAAGAACTCAAGCACATTATTAGCCACTTTACAGCACTGACCGTTGATAATATGAAGGTTTGTGTGGTACCTTGCATTGGGTGTCAAGCTGCGTAACACGTGTGTAAGGGAGGACAGAGCGAGAGCGCCGGTCTGCTGCACCAGGAGAGAGTTTTCATACGACGTCTCCTCCGCGTAGTGCTGGAACGTCACACACTCCCACCACAGCCAGTTAAACTGGCTCTGCTGGAACTGGTCCCACACTGGGAAATACATGGGAAATATTCAGCGACAAGGATACCTTTCAGTAGAATTAACACAACAGTACACACACATACAAACACTCACCCAATGGAGCATTTATGTGGTCTAAAGAAGCCACCAAGTGCAGGTTGGGCAGAGATGCAAGCTGCCCCAGTGCACTCTGGGTCTTCTCTCCTCGCAGCATTAGGCCATCAATATTGTGGATTAGCAGGTACACATGTAGATCTGGGCCTGAAAGGACATGCTTCAATTGTAAAACACAGAATTCAAACACAAGCTTAAGACAGAGACAGCTGACAGATACACTCACTGTCTTTAAGGGTCTGACTGATGTACTGGATCTGGTCCGAGGGTGTCCGGAAACTTCCCTGGTGCTCTAGAGCCTCACATGTCAGAGCATTTAAGATCTGCAATGATAGATGCATAGTATGATAATGCTAGCATTATCAATACTACTCAAGCATTTCTCTTTTGAACCAAAAAGCTGGCAATGAAAAGATCAAAGCCAACATGTGTTTGTCTGACTTTCCAACTTCCTGACCCTGTCTGTCCCATTGGTTCCTAGAAGACATAAATCTTTAAACTGGGTCATAAACATGTTTATTTTTTAAATGAGATCAGCTGATTTCCTGAAACTGCTGGACACCAGTTACATGAAGATCAAACAAGATGAGATGGCACATTGGTTGGGGACTATTTTCAAAAACTAAAACACATTTAATGCTGTAGTGAGTATTTGTTCTTCAGCAGGACTAATTACTTGGGAATGTTTCAAAAGAAACCACAGAGCCTGTGGGCCATCACAATGAAAGAAACATGTCACCCAGTGCAAAAGTCTGTTTTTCATAATACTTTTTAGTAGGGTGCATAGTTTTTGGTCTTTCATGAAATTGTAGATAATAAGAAAAATACAGAATATCAACATCCTTATTCCATGCCCAAGTTTAATTTGAGGTGTAAAAGATAACTTTATGTATACTGACTGATTTTAGAGTGATGGAAGGGAAGAATCCGTTGACCACAAGGTGGATTTCTTGACCCAGTTGAGACACTCGAAAGTCCTCCAGCAGAGCCTTTTTACTGCCCAAGCCGTAGACCAACACACTGAATCCCAACCTACGCAAACGCACACAGACACACTTTTTGTCTTGTACCACAATTCAAATATGATATTAAAAAAAAGCATGGAATAAAGAGGAGTGCAATCCACACTCACTGTAACTGTAACATCCATTTGCTAAAGTGCTTTCGGTGTTTGTTGTGGAGCTGCTGGATCTCTTCAGAGTAGCAGGACGGCTTTCCTTCTAAAAGCTGGACCAACGTTTCCTGCAAACACAAGATGAGGATCTTCAGTAACATGTGAATACAGCCCATTGAATACATTTAGAACAGTGGTTGTTATATACTGACCCTGTCAAGTTTAGGGGTGTGTAAGCGCTCAAGGGTGCGGTCCGATGTCAAGACCTTTGAGCTGCCATGAGCTTCAAAATACTCCTCCACCATACTGGGCTGATCAGGAGTGCTCTTGCTCTTCTTGGCGGGAGTCTTGTAGAGAGCTGCAGATAAACCTTTACTAGGCGTTCTCGGAGTCTTTGAGTTTTCCTTGTCTTCTTTCTTAAACGTCTGCTGCTCCTCCACCCCATCTTCATCCTCTTCCTCCCCAGAGTCGGAGGGCGAGAGCTCACTGTCGCTGTCTGACCGGATGCTCGGAGCTGAAAGTATTAAACAGCATCAGTTCAAGTCTAACTTTGTATATATAAATATAAGAGAATCAGCTTCCCATTTAACAAGTTAAACTTACTTGTTAATCTCTTCCTGAGCCTGTGGGGTGTTGTGGAGACAAACTGAACCTTCTTCTTCTGTCAAACACAAAGCAGAGGTTGCACTGAAAGAAGAACATCCCTGACACTACAGCAAAGCTAAACTTAAAGAAAAAACAACAACACCATAAGTCAAGCAAACAAATGCTTTCTAGCCTCACCCTCTGTGGTGTCCGGCTTTCTCCTCTGTGGTCTGGTCAGAGAGAGACGGGGAGAAAGGGCAGATTTAGTTGTGTGTAAATCAACACAAAAATATAAGAAAAGTGTGTTGAACTCACTGTTGCCGGTTCGGGTGGGAGTGGAGGGTTCAACGTTGGGAGTCGTGCTGAAGGTCACGTTTTTCCCAGGAGTCCGAGCCAACTCACTTGCTATTTATTAAATAGAAAATGTGTAATATCCTAAAAACCGTAATCATCTGATATATGTAGCTGAATGTCATACAAGACAGTGGAGTCTCTCACCAGTCTGAGCCATGCTGTGTCCACGTTTGACTTTCTGAAAGGTGAAAATGGAGGATCCAGCCACCCTGGACATACCCTCCTCATCCTCTGTAAACACAGGAACAATTAGGTGACTGAGGAGTAACCCCATCAAATCATCCTTTTTATATGTTTAGCGGCACTGAACACATGGGAAGCCATGACGGATGGAACTGGAGCTGGTGTTTTGAGTCCAGCATTGATCCATCGGGTAAATATGAGATATGTTAATAAACTGTACATACGCTACTCTCATTGATATAAATGGGGCAAACATAATACCCAGTATAAGCACTTCTTTATATACCGTAATACAAATCCCCCGCAACACAGCCTACATCCTCCAAAAAGGATCATAAAGCTGAATCTACAGTTTTCTAAAACAAACATTGTAACCTTTATGCAGGATCTATTGTAGGATCTATATCAGAGGGTTTTATCTGGGTGTACAGTTGTTTAGCAGCGAGCTGAATAAAAGGTTAAATTAAAGCAGCCTAATGAACACAAAGGGAGCTGGGGGAAATAAACCAGCAGGTAGACTATGTGTAAGGTTACAGTTGCCTCGCTCACCTTCTGTTCCCAGAGCCTGGATATAGTTCTGCTCATCCAGGAGTCCATTTTCATCCCCATCATGTTCTGCATCCGCTCTGGCTCGTCGTCCAGCTGGGCTCTTAAATGTGACCATCTTCTGAACAGACCCACTGTTGCTCTGCACACCTTGTAGTTATACAGACAGAGTAGTTAGCCAACATCCAGCCTATATCCAGAAGTATCTGAACAGGAGAGGTGAAGTGACTCTGTTGTCCCTACCCTCCTGTTTGTCCACGATGTGCTCCAGAGCGTCTCCATCACCAATGAACTTCACCTCCAACACACTCATGACTGAAGAGAAATACAGCATAGAGTGAGTCGGTGGCTGGCCACTCAGCAGGGTCTCACACAACGCATACAGACCTTTAGCTAACTTAGCTCGGCTCATCCAGTGATGGTAACGCCATTAAGTAACGTTAGCTGACAGTGAGGTGTACAGGGGAGGAGGAGCACATTGAATGTCCAGAAGAAAAGTGGAGCAGTAACTTAACCAAATGTATCTTTAACGTCGGTAACTTACCGGATAATGTCGGTGTCAAAATGTAAACAAAACCTCCACCGACTGAAAACTACACTGTGCGGTGTGTGACAACTTTCCGCGCCATCCTCCTGAAGTTTTTAAACCACGTGACAAGCGAAAGGTCATATGGTGGCCAATCACAACGTTAGTTCCGTCAAAACCACATTTCCCATCATGCACTTCGCACCGCCGGTCGCAACCACATTGTCGGGATTTCAATGACAGTTTTATGATTATTATCAGCTATAATAATAAAAGTTAATACTTTTAACAGAGGCATTATATATTTACTGTAGAGTACTTATGTTAATATATGTTATTCTCATTATGAGATATAGTTTACAAATGTGCAAGACAATTATGGAAATGGGTATTATAAAGACAAAATAAGAAATGGAAATTGAGAAAAATAGTAATTTTATTGAAGAAAAACAGAAAAAAAAAAAAAAATAAACCACCACCAGCTTTCAGGATAAGCTGCGGTAGTCCCCATACACATCCACAAAAGTATATCATGAAGGATCATTTATTAACGTCAGCATGAGAAATGCCTCTCTCACATCACCAGGCTCCTGATCATTACACTCTATTACATTACACTATACATGAGTTCATCTTGCAGGTACGGGCACCTGGTGCTCTGCTGTGCACACTGTGAGCAGCTTCTTTACATGTTTCAATTACTACAATTAGAGACAGTCCAAAACTAAAGATTGAACAATGAATATTAAAAACTAATGAACAATCCTGAAAGGTTAAAACTAAGATTTGTAGGCAACATAGAGCAAAAAGGTCAGTTACACTGTATGGACAAGAGCATAACTAACACTCTTAAAAGTAGAAATGCAGAACCCACACATCTGCAGCGCCATTCATTTGTGTTTAACCATCAAACTGACACATATAGATAACTGGGTAACTATATCATAGTCAGTGAGTGCCCACATACTGACAGCTGTCTACGGGCATTTGTTGCTACTGTAGTGGCACAAGGACTCCTCTACTTACTCATCTCAAAAACATTTCAAGATGATATTAATTAAAGGATGAGACAACATAGTCCTAAAGCTGTAATCTATTTAATTATTTAGAAGCATACAGGTATAAACATCATTTCAGTTCAAATATTTGGGGAATAGGTCCACAAAAAATACTGTTATTTAATCAGTAATTCTACGCCTATACTTAGGTAGACGTGAATATTCAATTATAGTCTCCAACTACTTATAAAATCATCCAAAAACATTAGTTGCTCCAAGTAGGAAGAAGTAGTTCTTCTTCCCAAGTTCATTTACGTGTCCTAACAAGGTCATGTATGCAGTGAGTGCACAGTTGGACAGCAGTTCACCACCCGCGAGTCGGTGTCCACTTCCCCAGCAGACGGCCCCCAGAGTGCACATGGTACACGGGATGCATCATGGCAGTTGCACACGACTGTAAAAAATCAACAGATAGAGGGTCAAACAAGAGTGCCACACTAAAACTGACACAGTATGAAGCTTCACTCCACATTGAACAGTACTAACATGGTAGGGGATCAGTGTAAGCAGCGAGCCCAGGGGGTATTTGCTGTAGTCCAGCGGTCCTGAGATGGGCTCCACTCTACCGTGCTCTTGGGTCATAGACAACAACCTGGAGGGGAATATCCTTCATCAGAACCTCAGTCACAATTACGTTTAGTATTGAGACTACGGACAAAGCTATATAACATTACTTGAGGTTTGGGTGTCCTTCAATCATGGCATATCCAGTGGGAAGTTTTCCAGCTCCGTCTAGACTGAGAGAACAATGGGATTAAAGCATATGTAAAAACAACAGAAAGCTGCCATGGCTATATAAAAAAAATCTTTGGTTGGTGAGCATCATAACTCAACTGAGAGGAAATCAATTGGTAAGCAGGTTAAGTCCATTCTGCAAATATACAACGGGGGTAAACAATGATGTTGAAGGTACCTGAGTCCAGTCCATCCACAGTCAATCAGGAGCTGGTTCCTATGAGGACAGTGTCCGATGACTCTTGTCAAAACCCTCACAGCAACATCCTCCAGACTGCACGAGCCAATCACAGACTGCTGCACGTCTGTAATACATCAAATACATCATCGTCACTGCTGATTTTTTGTGTGTGCTAATTTTAATTGGAAAAAAGCATAAACAAACTGGTACAATGACACAAATACATCTATCAACCATACACACCATAGAAGGTGTAGTTTCCTGGATGCACCTCGCTGAGCTGCGCCATGTCTTTGACTGGATGACTACAGGAAGGGGTGGAGCCAATGCTGGACTTACAGGTGATGCCAGCAGCTTTCAGTCTGCCGGAAAAGAAACCCAGAGAGGTTTACAGAATTCTATCAAGACAGCAATTCATAAGAAATAACAGTTTATTTACTTGTTAGTGTGATGAGGTGATAAAATGTGAAAACTGTCAATAAGGTAACTTCAATCTAACTTAATCAAATTGTAGGCCACTTAATACATTATTATAGTATGGAAGCAAACAGTTGCCTATTTACACATCCAGCAGACATTTAGCAAATAAGTATTTAGCTGAAGTTGTGTTTGTGTTCCCCACATTAAATCCAATATTCCTCCTTTTAGCCCTAGTTTGGTCTAGTTCAGCTCATTAGCTGCTAAATGCTCTACTATGTTCACCAGCTAGTTGCTAACTGTGTCTGCCTGGTGTTTGGAGCTGGGCAGTAAAGTGTGTTTATCTGATTTCTCTAATGCCCGCTGCTTCTGGAAATGATGCTGTTGAGTGTGGTGAGACTAAACCAAAACTGAGCATCTTTTAGCTCATTGTTTTGGTTTCCTATCTGCATCTTTACTGTTTTGGTTCAGTAGAGCTGGAGGGATCTGCTGAATCAGATCAATCTCAATGAGTTTGTTACTGTGAGTAACACAACATTATATGTGGTCATATAAATCATCACATCAAAAAAAGATTGATTAGAGCAGCTTTGATATGTTAAAGCTGAAAATAGAAGTGGCTGACACTGTAATTAAGCAAGATTTAAGTAGCGTTGTGTCTAGCATTGGATTAAAAGCCTAGACACACCAAGTCTGTATTTTTCATCCGCATTTCTTTAAATCTGTCATCCAATTAAAATTGTTAAACCTGTCCTTTCTAACTTTACTCTCCTTTCTTCTACAATCATGGCGATAAAACAACAAGAGGCAAATTAACTTGTACTTGTCAGGAGGAAAAAACAATCGAACTTCCTTTAAAAATTTATAAATGTTCACCTTCACATTATATGAAATGATTTTGGCCTCGACTTGCATTTTTTTTGTTGCTTTTTTCATACTTTTCCATGAACTGCAAAGTAAAGCTGGTGGTTTCCTGGGCGACAGCCTGTATCTGCTCCACTCCTCTGCAGTTATAGGTGTTCCCACAGTGAGCGTATATTCCGGTTAGCTCCACGCCCTCCGTCTCCGTGATGGCCTGAGCCAATGTGAGCGCCTCAGGTTCTGAGTGCAGGACACCAGCTACGACAAAGAGCAAACAGAGGATTAGCAGGTGCTTGACCTCCACAGCATAATAGCTGATGATGAGCTGTGTCCTGGTCTCCCTGCGTGTTTTTACCTCTCCCGTTGCCGCAGTCGAGTTTCAGCCAGACGTGCCACCGCCGACCGTCCCTTAGTGGTCTCTTTTTGAGCTGCTCCAGGGCCTGAGGATGATCCAGTAATACTTGGAAGAGATCCAGTCTCTCTGATAGGGCTGCACAGCGCTCCACCTGTGAACACACACACAGACACACACACAGACACACACACACACACACACACACACACACACACACACACACACACACACACACACACACACACACAAAAAGGTATTTGGTGTATGGTTGGAAAATAAGACCTAACAAATATAAAAGTTATGAGAAATTATGTGAAATGAATGTTAATTCCATTGACCTGAATGTTGATATTTATTAATTATACTTAGTTTATTAGCAGAAAATGTATAAATCACTGTCACTAACTAACAATCACTTGATTTAGTCACTTAGTAAAATACCAAACATTTCGTAATAGACCTTTTCTAGCTTTAGTAGTCCTTCCATTTTTCATGGCAGACATTTGACATGTCACCGCAGGAAAGGCACAGGTGTAATCAATAATATTAACAATGCAGGGCCATGCTTGTGCTTGCTGGCTCTCCAGTATACTTATAAACAACAGAGCTGTCATTAATTTGTTAAATTAATTAGTTCCACCTGAGCTTTTCCTGCTGTGACGAGTAATATTTTTGTAATATTTTGGCTCGTCATACCAGGAAAAGCAGTAGGACAAGGTGTAACTATTAACAGTGGCTTTGGATCCTGAAACTGAAGCAGCTAAATTGAATTCAGCCATCATTCATTTGTATTATTTACACTATATTTATCCTAAAAGGAGATTTTTTTCACTTTTCTGTTATGAGTGCCCAACAAAATCAAAAACTTCATATATACGGAGCGCCTTGGTAGCTGAATGGTAACAGTACATACTGTATTATGCAGCTGTCACACCCCTCTTTCTCCCTGTTTCATGTTTCAAGACAAAAAATACCACAAAAAAATTATCAAAAAAAGAGCATATATAGAATAATAATAATAAGAGTCTTTTTAGCTTGTGAGTTTAGAGAACCTTATCAAAGGGAAGAGAGTATGCATAGAGGATGTCATCAAATCCGTGGTCGGCATAGAAACAAGCCTCCGCCAGTGTGGAAACCACAATGCATCTCCGCGATCCACCCGTCATTATGTCAGCGCACTCACTAGACATGAACACAAATACACAGGCATGGACCTTATCAGCATCCCTTAGATATGACTGACTTGTATTAATGGACTGTGTGTGTGTGTGTGTGTGTGTGTGTGTGTGTGTGTGTGTGTGTGTGTGTTTTCATACAGGGTTTTGTGGGTCTTCATGTGTGGCCGAAGCTGGACTCCCAGCTTCTGACAGCGTTCAATCATCATCTGGGCATTTCTCTTCACTTTGTCCACATCCACCACCAGAGCAGGAGTACACAGGGCTGAAAGGGCCTCTCCCTCCATAATGGCAGCACTGGAACACACACACACACACACACACACACACACACACACACACAC